GTAGATCTGGTTTCACACTTTGCTCGCGCTCTGCTTCGGAGCATGGCTCTGTCTGTGCTGAGAACAGCGCACAGGTGAGCTGCTGGGAAGTGGTCGATCTCTCTCCCCTGTGTATGTCAGGCGACTTCTCTGACCTCAGTGACAGAGATGGGGAGGGGGCAAGCGTGCCTGTTCCAATTCTATCATTTATGACATGGATGTAACCGGTGTGTATGTGTACATAAACTGTGGGTGCATATACCCACACGCCATGTGTCAGTGTGGGGTAGATGTCTTATAGCCTTTGCTACTCAGGATCAATAGTCATCTCAAGCGATATATGCCATTAAAATCTTAATACCACACACCGGCGAGGGGCTTTGTTTGTTTTGCCTCTTCCCCTAGAAGTAGCGTGTGGTGTATCATGAATACATGCCACAAACGGACCTGAATGCAATGCAAAGCTTGCTCGGATGAGAGGTAAGCTTGAACGCCAACCCTTAATTTATATGTCTGATTCAGACTGTAATTGTGAGTGGTCCCATACTATCTCCCAACAACTTAGTTTAATACAAGATAGTATCCCCCACCTTAAATACACATATCTCTCTAAGATATTCTGAGCACAAATTAACAAAACGATCCTAACGCCTGCAGGCAGAGGGGAAGAGTTGAGGAAACACATGTATATTGGATGGGGAAACATTTTATGAAAACGAGTTAGCTGATGGTGGTGTAGCTGCTTTCTTGGCAAAAAGTAGCAGACATTGGGCACTCAGTAATGCCTCACCCAGCTTTGCCCTCGATTTTTAGAAGGGCTGGTCACCTTTCACCTCACCTGGAGTTAATGGAAGCTGTAGGTGCATCGCCTCTCTGAAAATCCGGTCCTAATGTAATTTGTGTTCAGAAAGGAAGAGCATCGGACAGAGTTATTTTTACACTTTCCCAAAACTGTTATGGGATCTTTCACACGGACAGCCACTAAACTTAATAAACCAAAGTGCTTTTTGCCCATCTCTTCTGAGAGCTACTGTCTCTGGTTTAGTAACTACTGGGTTAATTATTTCCACCTGTAACACTGTAGTACATTCTCTCTTCACTCCTTTGGTACTGAACTTCAGAGTCAGAATTAGGGAGACATTTATACCTATCCATCTATATTTATATCTATATCTTTATACACACGCCATAGAAGTTGCTTCTGACCTTATCCTCACAAAAGCACATTTGCCCACTTGCTTGTAAATCAACACATTAAACAGCTGCTCTCCTCAGTTGAAATTACTACTGATCCATGAGCAACTATTACAGGAACATATAACCCACCATCAAACACAACCATAAAATACTTGGCTAAATGGGTTTGTTTCTTCCTCTGACAACATTAGCATCACTAAGGGAACAACAATTATTTTGCTAAAGCAGCTGTCTATTATAACAATTAAAAAAGGAAGATTGGATAGAAAGACACCAAGGACACAGGTTAGATTAAAAAAATCAAACCAAACCAAAACATAAACATGCGCCCCGTGAACAAAATAATGGTGAAACGAAAGCTCTTGTGTTTATTCTGAATGTCCATTCATGAGAGTACGAGAATCATAACTCACCTTGGGCTTTATTCACACTTACAATTTCACCTTCCTTTGTGATCAATGAGGGTAAACATTGTTCGTGGGCCCAATCCTGTTCCTGTTGAAAGTTAATGGCAAAGCTACCTTTGACTTGACTGGAAGCAGGAGAGGTTACGGTAGGTGTCCTTTGTTATTTACCAAACCTTCAACATTAAGGATGAAGGGAGCCCCTTGAGATAAAAAAAAACAAAAACCACACTTCTGCCCCAAATTCAGTTTGATCCTTCAAGTTCTTTTAACACTGAACAGTAAACACCCCTTTTTTTTTCATGCCGACACCTTTTCTAGTTCTGGCCAGAGCAAGCAGAAAATACTGAACTACCATCAGCTGGCCATGTGGCGTTTCCTTGCACACAAGAATCATGGTGGTATTTCCTGGCTGACCAGAAACAAAATAGAGCAAAGAATATTCGATTCTTAGGAGACTCGCAGTGCAATTTAGCGCATTCAGGAGGTAGTTCAGACTGGGGTTTATGTGAACTGAACATCTGAGCGCTGGATTCTCTTGTCCTTGTATAAAGCACTGCAGGATAATTTCACGATCAGAAAATGAATGGGTTTCAGTATTTAAACCGATTGATCACTAGTGTAACATTAATGTACATGAGTGTAGCATGTATAGTAGTGAGTTCACAAGTGTCTCCTTACGATTGAAGATACAGCTCATAAAAGAGGTCCATCATGTATTACATATGTACTATGTTTTTCTATCAGTGGTTTTAAGGCTGGAACTCCTTCAGCTGACATCGTTTAATGGGAGACCAAAGTTTCTCCAGGAGGGACTATTTAATTGTGAGTATGGAATCAATGGAACTACACCTACCGTGCTTGTAACTTGTGGCAAAAATAGCACTTGGAAAAAAATCTGTGCACATACTATACTGTGAGATCCTGAAACACAAATACCGCCCAAGAAATAGAAATGGCACTGGGGCTGTGGTATAGGCCCTATTTTGTAAAACAATGAAACTTAAGGAGGATTTAGTTGCATAGACCTTGTGCTGGCTTCTATGTTCAATTTCACACTAACCCCAGATTCTTCTTTCCCTGCATCTTGTGTAGTCATTTATACCAGTGCAATATGAGTGTAAAATAACATTCTGATCTGGTGACACTTTGCACTAGTGTAAACGACTTGGGTAGACTCAGAGAATTGGGCTCTAAGTGTGCATGTAGGGGCAAACACTCTGGTGGTGAATTCCACAACCTGAATATTGGCCTGTGAGTGGCCTCTCTGTGTAGAATTGTCCAGCGGTGGTGGGGACACTCCATGCCTGCAATTACTTTCACTTGTCCCATCTCTAGTATGGGGTTCCCTCTCTGTGGGAGATGGGAGGATCAATCTAGGAGTTCTACATGTGGTAGAAGATGCACACACCCTGCTTGGCCCCTCGGCATTTGCCCCCTTCCTCTCTGCACATGGAACAGCACTGGTTCTGCTGGAAGTGGAGTCACTGCATCTGTAGAGGCAGGGGAAAAGATTTACCCCACTATGGATTTATAGTCTGATTTTCAACAGTGTTCCCACTATATTCAGTAACAGCCTAGGTGCTCAGTGTCTCTGAGTTGATGCTATTGATTACTTTTTCTTCTGACCATGCTCTGAATGCAACTTTCAAGCAAGCCATTTTATTTGGAAACAAGCAAAGGCTCTAGTTGTTCGTGAGGACTATGGCCCCGATCCACAAAGGTATTTAGGCTCCTAACTTCCATTGAAATCAAGGGGCCTTAGGAATCTAAATACCTTTGTGGAGCTGGGCCCATGGACCTGATCCAATGTTCACTGACTGTCACTGGAAGGTTTCCAATTTACGTCAGTGGATGCTGGATTTGGCACTCAATCTTTCGCAGGTTTCAATCTTCAGCTATTTTTTTGCTGTAACTCTCTCTCTCTCTCTCGTGTAGTTAGACTGTTTTCCTATGGGGAAAAGCGAACCATTTCTCATCATCTCCGAGCTAAAACATGGTTGAAAGGATTTTGCTCAACCTTTGTAGAAAACGTCACCTTTGGGCTAGGAGCAAGCATGTGACAGATCAGGTAAAAAAGATGAATGGCTCAGAAATACACGGTAAGAACATGGGAATGTAACGAACACCCTCTTGCAGTGTTCACTAGCAGACCCCTAAGAGTGAGTGTGTTCGATCAGATGTATCCGTCTGCCTTTTAAACCACACCCTCCTAGAACGCTGCAACCTTTTCGAAGATCGATTCTATGGGCCTGATCCTCACCTGCTGGGAATCAGGATAGTTTCATTAACTTCAGTGAACCAATGCCACCTGACACCGGTGAAGGCGGCCCAATTGATACGATGGAGAATCCAGGTAATCTCTCTCTGCTGATATAAGGCCCGTGGTGATGAATCCCAACACAATATGCTTTTAGCGAGGATAGCAACTGGGGGCCGGGAAAATGCCAATCATTGAGGGGAGTTGCTCTTTTATAACTGCAGACTGCACAGTTTAGTCCTGTCTCCTGCTATCTGCAGCGCTGTCCATAACAGAATGAGTGCTTTTCCTCAGCCAATCTTTTGCATGGAAAATCTTGACTTTTCTATCAATATATAGTCATAGCACTTAGTGTTTAAAAAGTCATCTAAGATGCTGACGATCCCTTCTCTCCCTCCAATATGGGATCATTTGAATCTGTTTTACCTGGGACTTCCCCCCCCCCTCCCCTTTCAAAAGGCAGGGCATAGCTAGGCACTCCGGGAAGAGAGCACTTACATTATTTTCAAGAAAGCAAGTGAAAGTCTTAAACCTCAGTGGGTGTCTTTGAGGACACAGAGATTGTGGTCAATGATTCATAAACACCCGGTGCCAACTGCTGATCGCCAGCTGGAGTCACTCCATTGAAGGACCCGGCCCTGTTCTTGTGCCCAAGCAGGAACCGGCTGACTGCTGGTTACTCTGCCTGCACAGAGGGACGATGACTGTTTCATGCCTCCTTTAGCCCCACCACAAACCAAATCCTAGCGCCCATCATGTCCGCTGCAGCCATTTTAGAGGTGGCCCATTTAAAAAGTAGTGTGTGGGGGGGAGGCGGTTGTACTGTCTGCCCTTAGGTTATTTGGGGGGCAATCAGTGGCGAAGCCTATGCAAAAAACCAACCAACCAACCAACCAACAAACCCCAAACACCACCAGAGGCCTTGACTTGCTGTTAGCGCAATTACAGCGAGCGAGGGCAACAGGGGCGCCACGTGGATAGCACCTCAGTGCCTCGACACCCCGTTTTATAGAGCAACGGCCCGGCTCCAAGACTGGCCGTCGCAGTTTCTTGTCTAGGGCAGAAGCGGGATCCTTCACTGGCTCCAGGAGCCCCCGGAAGTGTAGCGGCAGAGCCCCGAGGCTTTCTTTTAACACCGAGAGGCGCCCCTCTCCCCCAGTGCTCCTACGCGTGCCAGGCGAAGCGTTTGGACCCGTTTGCAGAGCTGCGGGCACGAGCAGGTCCAGACGCGAGCTCCGAACTCGTCCCTGCTTTTGCGCTCTAGCGGGGGATACCTTGGACAGCTCCCCCACCTGGCATTCCTCCACCCCCCCTTTCCTCCTCCTCCTCCTCCTCCAGCTCCCAGCCACGCTGCTAGCTTGGTGCATTTCGCAGCCTGACCGTGCAGCGCCAGAGCCGGGAGCTCGCTCTTGGCCCCGACAGGAATTCCCGGCTCCAGCGCCCGGCGGAGAGAAGCATGGATGTGAGGCTCAGAGCCGGGCTGTTGCGGGTCCCGGGCCTGCTGTGCCTAGTCCGTGAGTAGCGCTCCGACGGGCGGGCGGGCTGAGGCTAGGGCTCCACCGGCGAGGGGACCTGCCCGGCTTGCGGGCGCGTGGGGAGCTCTGAGCATCCTCGGGCGGCTGTCTGGGAGCTGAGCCATGGGGATGCGTGACAGGCGGCTGCCTTGCCCAGAGAAGGGCTTGCAATAAAGCCGATTCATTTCATGCAAAGGGCTTAAGTGTGTGGGGGGGGGGGTACTTGGCTGCAGAAGAGCAGGGCAAAGGGGTAACTTTATTTATTTATTTTGCCCACCACGCTGCAAGCGGAGCACGGCGCCCCCAGCAAGACCCGGGTGTCTCTACAGATCTGTTTTGTTCCCGCAGATGCCATGGCTCGAATCGGGGCCGAGCAAGAAGTGGAGAACCTCTCCGGGCTCTCCACCAGCCCCGGAAAGGATATTTTTGTGGTGCGGGACAACGGCACCACGTGTCTGATGGCCGAATTTGCAGCCAAAGTGATGGTCCCTTATGATGTGTCGGCCAGCAATTATGTCGATGTAAGAGGGATTTAGGTTCCCTTGGTAGGGTCCCGCTTTCAACTCGCGGGGCTGATCTTTTAGAAAGGGACGTAGTATGTTCGCTTAGCCTCGGGCCCGAAAGCCAATAACATAATGTCCCGTGTTCAAAATGAAGATCTCAGCCCATCCCGCTAATGACCCCACTGCCTCTTAGCAAGGTAATGCAAAAAACCGTGGCTCTGGCGAGCCAACAGTATTTTAGCGCCATTAAGGGATCTCGATGCTAATTGAAAACCCCTCTCTGTGTCCATGCGCTTTGCCAGCAGAAATGATTCAGAATAGCGAATCCAGCTGCATTTGGACAGAGAAAGTTGTCAATGCCTGAAAGAGCGTCAGGAAAGAACCCAGTTCCCTATAGGCAAATGTATCTGCTTTCCTGTATGTTCCCCCTTTCGCTCCTACTCTTAAGGGCATATTTTTTTGCTTGGGTTGGAGGGGGAAGGATCACCTTTTTTTCTGATAACATCTGCATCTGAAGAAGTGAGGGTTTTTTTTTTTTTACCCAGGAAAGCTTATGCCCAAATAAATCTGTCAGTCTTTCGGGTGCCACCGGACTCCACGGCTACCCCGATACTTTTCTCTGATGTTATTTTATATCGGAGCCCATGTAAACTACCCCCTTCTAAATCATTAACCGTTGGGACTGGTGTTGGTCATCCGGCCTTTCTTTTCGGTTGTTGAACGTGTGTTGTGTTGTTTGCGCATTTAGCTGATAACAGAAGAAGCTGAGATTCCGCTTTCCCGAGGAGCAGAAGTGAGGGGGAAATGTGGCACTACCGAATCGGAACTCCAAATATCGTGGCTAGACAAAGTTTACACCCTCAAACTGTATTTTGTAAAGGTAAGTGACTGGGTGATTGCTGTGTGCCTCCGGGTCCTGCTTTTTGTTTTCCCCTTTCACTAAAAATCAAGGACATCTGATGCCAGCAAAACCAGCCCGAAATCTTAAATTCGGCTTCATTTGAACTGGTCACAGGGAAACCCACAAGCAGGGAAATCCCGCACTCGGTGTGTGTTAAATGAGATGTGATCGTTGTAAAAACCGACCCACAACCATTATCAAAACGACGCGAGCTGTACATTTTAATGCCAGGGAAGTTCATTTACCGAAATGGCCATTTTTTAAAATTTTGGATTGGCAGGAAGGCCATAACACAACCAAAAGGCAAGAGGCGGTCTGGAAATTGAACAAGATCCAATTTGTCTATGATTCTTCGGAGCGAACCTACTTCAAAGATGCCGTCAATCGTAAGTGCTGGCTGGAAAAGGCCTTTTCCCCCACAAGCCAAAGAGCTTTTCCCTTGACCGTTTTTGTAGATGAAAATAAAAAAAGGTAAACGGAACACTGAGCTGTTCGGGGTACCCGGGAGTAAAGCGGAAGGGGGCTGGGTTGTCTGATGAAATCAGGAGGAGTGTTGATTAAAACCCAATTTAATTACAAATAAAATATTGCTCTACTGAAACCACAGCCAAATAGTCCAATCTTCCCAGCGTATGGGCCATGCCTATGAAATGCAACTATTCACCCACGCCTATAGCATGAATAGGTAAAGAAGGAACATGGAGACAAACTAATTTCCCCCTTAACTGCTACACTGACCTCCTCCCGCTTTTATCTATCTATCTATCTATCTATCTATCTATCTATCTATCTATCTATCTATCTATCTATCTAGTACAATTTGCTCGCAGTCACCAGATGTTCTCCTTGCCGTGGCGAGAAAACCGTATTTCCCCCAATCTGCTTGCTAGGCTAGGCAAAGCTTAAACACGTTTCTGTCTTTGGGAGGTGAATTCAGGGCGTTTTCTAACCAAGGCGGTATCTAGCTGCTGGAAAACTCCCCCCGTCTTCATCCCCGCTCTGCATCCGCTATTGCAGACTGCGGCAGGTCTACACAGCATTCAGGAGACAGGAAAATGCCTGTGTTTTCAGTCCCTAGAGCCCACCTCCCACATTCTGCTATAGCCTCAGTTTCTTCCTCTACCACTGATCACTGCGGCTGGCAGTTGCTGTACCAGATCCTGTTCTCCTGCAGATCAATGGGTGTTTTGAAATTGACTTCAATAGGAACAGGATTCAGGTCCTATGTGCGGTTAATTTGAAGGAAACCACCTTTGGACTGAATCACTTAAATGGTAACAAGGGATGGACGTTTACCTCTTGTTTTCTTTTCTGATGTTGGGGCAGAGGGGATTGCACTGGTGCTGCTGTGTGTACACACACACACACACACACACACACTCTTTCTTACTTTTCTTCCCACCTTTTGTTTCCTTTCTCAATCTTTCCTCCTTCACTCATCTGAGTTTGTTTCTTTTGATACTTTCCCTCCTCCACCCCTTTTCTTTACGGTACATGAACGATAGGCATCTCAGTGGGATAGTATTGGGGGGAACTTGAAGCACTGGAATGGGTTACCTAGGGAGGTGGTGGAATCTCCTTCCTTAGAGGTTTTTAAGGTCAGGTTTGACAAAG